CATCAAGAGGTTGAGAAATTCACCATGGTTCGCTAGGCGCCCGTAGCTCAGTTGGCAGAGCGGTGGAACGGTGATCCACAGAACCGGGTTCAAGTCCCGGCGGTCGCTAGTGAATTTTTCATTTTTCTCATCTTCAATTTATGGTACTTACATGTTCAGTAAGGGAATCGAGACTAGAGGTAGCTTCATCGAATACAATAATGGGCGAATCCTTCAAAATGGCGCGCGCGATGGCCACGCGCTGCTTCTCGCCACCTGATAACTTGAGACCGCGTTCGCCTACTTGCGTCTCGTAGCCCTGGAAATCACAATTTCAATTTAATCAAAATAATGTATTAAAATTTTTAATGCACTTACAATGCTTTATTATTCTCATAAATTGAAAATGAGAAAAATTGAAAAATTCATTAGTGACCGCCAGGTGCCCGTAGCTCAGTTGGCAGATAGGTGGGACAGTACCCCACGGTCCCGGATTCAAGTCCCGGCGGTCGTTAATGAATGTTTCAAGTTTCTCATTTTCAGTTTATTAATAAAAATGAATTCGGGGACTCTTAAAATTGACGATTGACAGGATTTGATGGTTCTATAGTGGCGGGTATTTTTTTTTTAATATTTTATACTAAAACCTCTTCCTTGGGGAAAGTTTTTCAGTTTCATGGGCTGGTTCACCTCTTAAGACTAGCAGTAGTTTGTTTTACATTCTGTATTAAGGCGGACTGTGGGGACAAAATCCCAGGCACTTTGTATCCGATACAATGTTCCCGAAAAGTACCCAATAAAGACACGCCCTCGCTGGAAAGTTTGTTCCGAAACGTTGTATAAAATGCGCCTTCATTGGGGAACTTTTGTACCTGACACAATGTTCCGGAACTTTGTTCCTAATGAATACCCGCCTTTATGTGTTAACTTTAAATGAGGATAAATGTACCTTAGGCCAGGTGACGACTGATTCGTGCAACTCGGCTAGCTTACTGGCTGCGAAAACATCTTCCCGCGGACGGGATAGGTCGCCGTAGTGCAGATTGTGGAATATCGTATCGTGGAATAACACGCAGTCCTGTAAAAAAGAAAACAGCTGATCAAATTTTTCGTTAACGATATTTTTTCAACTCTTCCCAAAACTATTTGTATTGAATGTTATTATTTTTATTCTATCAGCCTAAACTGTCCCACTGCTGGGCAAAGGCCTCCCGTTTATCCTTCCAGACTAAGCGGTCTATGGCTGTTTAAGACCAGTACAGGTCGAAGTCGACCTCACTCTGCGGTGGCGATCTTGACAGATAATATCTGTAGTTAGTTTGTCCCACCTCTTCAGAAGCATATGGCCAGCCCAGACCCACTTGAGCCTTGCAGCTATTTTGCCCACGTCGCTAATACGAGTTTTGGAGCGGAGGGTGGTGTTTACTAACACGATCTGTCCAGGTAAATGTACTCGTCGACGTATTGTATTTCCTGCCTGCCCTTCCGACTTCTACCCTTTGCTTGACACTGATGATCATGACTTTGGTTATGGACCGGTAGGTTTTGAACCGGTTCATAGTTCGGACGGTTGAACGAATATAAAATGAATTTTGGAAGTTGTAATATTGTATTTACTTTTCCATTCACAATCATTTTAAGGTTTTGGAACCTAAGAACACTGTACAGACCAGCAGGCTTTCAACTCTTATGTCAACAACTAGCACAGCACAGAGCCGACATAACAGCTGTACAGGAACTAAGATGGTTGGGACAAGGCACTATTGAAAAACCAGACTTTACAGCATATTATAGTTGCAATGACCGTCACCACACTTTTGGAACGGGTTTCGTCGTGAGTAAGCGGCTTAAACACCTAGTGATAGACTTTCAACCCATTGATGAGCGCATGTGTAAGATCAGGCTTAGAGGCCGATTCCAGAATCTCACTATCATCAATGTCCATGCTCCGACGGAAGAGGCAGAGCCGGAGGAAAAAGAGCGGTGGTATTCTTGTGTGGAAGATGCGTACTTTAAATCTCCCAAAAGTGACATCAAGATAATTATTGGAGATCTGAATTCAAAGGTTGGAAGAGAAAACATATACCGACCGACGATAGGACGACACAGTCTGCATGAAATATCCAACGATAACGGAACACGCCTTATCGACCTGGCAACCTCTCTAGGGATGGTTGTTGGGAGTACGTGTTTTCCGCATAAAGATATTCACAAAATGACATGGTGCTCCGCGGATAAAGTCACCCGAAATCAAATAGACCATATCTTAATAGATGGCAGGCACTTCTCCAACCTCCTGGACGTCCGAAGCCACCGTGGGGCGAATATTGACTCCGACCACTACCTCGTAGTCTGTAAAATAAGAGCGCGTATCTCGCGGTACAAGTATACTAAAGCCCTAAAAACTAATAAATTTGATACCACAAAACTAAAGAACGACCAGGACGCTAGATACAAATTTCAAGACACCATTTGTAGAGAACTAATCAAATCAGGAGAATTGAACGACAGTGACCCCAATGTCACCTGGGGATGTCTGAAAGATACTCTTTGTACGGCTGCCAGTGAGGTGCTTGGAGTGGAAGAAAGATCAAAACGCAGAGGGTGGTTTGATGAAGAATGTCAACAGGCCACGGATAGCAAAAATGACGCGTATATGCTCTTACAGCAGAGAGGCATCCGTTCACGAGAGCAAGAGTACAAGGCTAGGAGAAGAAAAGAAAAACACCTTCACAAGAAAAAGAAAATAATGCACGAAGAACAAGAACTGAGAGAGATCGCGTCTAGTTACTCAAAAAAGCAGACGAGATACTTCTATGGACAAATTAATAGGGGACGGAAAGAATTTAAACCGAGAACCACAGCCTGTAGAAGTAAAGATGGTACGTTACTTAATGACAAGACGGATGTTACTAAAAGATGGGCGGAATACTTTTGTGAACTCCTGAATAGTTCATCACAAGTCGTATCACTCCTAAGCTCTACTCCTGATATCCACACAAACTATCAAAATCTGATACCGGAAGAAAACATATCGGAACCATCACGTGAAGATACTAAGAAAGCTATCCAACAATTAAAAAACAATAAATCACCGGGAATAGACAACATCCAAGGAGAACTCATAAAATATGCTGGAACTCGCTTCGAAGGAGAAGTACATAAACTGATGCTTCAGATTTGGAACGCGGAAGAGATGCCTAATGACTGGAATACTGCTGTTATCTGCCCGTTACATAAGAAAGGTGATATACTGGAATGCCATAACTACAGAGGCATATCTCTACTTAACACCGGCTATAAAATCTTTGCCAACATTCTTTTCAACAAACTGAAACCCTATGTTGAAAACTCCTTGGGTGAATATCAATGTGGTTTTCGGCCGAACAGATCCACAATAGACCAAATCTTCTCCTTGAGGCAGATCCTTGAAAAAAGCCTAGAATTTAATGTGGACACTCATCACCTTTTTATCGACTTCAAGGCTGCGTATGACAATGTGCACAGAAATTTCCTATACCAAGCAATGGCCGAGATCGGAATTCCCAAAAAACTCGTGCGTCTGACGGAAATGACTCTAAAACAGTCTGAGAGTGTAGTTAGAGTACAAACAGACATGTCAGAACCCTTCAGAACGTACGACGGACTTCGACAGGGTGATGCACTGTCCTGCTTGCTCTTCAATATTGCCCTAGACAAATGTATCAAAACGCAAAGATCGAGACTGCAGGAAATATATTCTATAAATCCGTCCAAATTCTAGGGTATGCGGATGACCTCGACGTAATAGGGAGGAACATACCTGCAGTGGAAAGTGCATATACTGCCCTTGAAAAATCAGCTATGGAAGCCGGTCTGCAAGTCAATATGGCCAAAACCAAGTACCTGAAAGCGTCTAAAAACCAGCATTCATGCCCTCCAGATATAGTCGTCGGTAATAGAACTTTTGCTGGAGTCACCGATTTCGTATACCTAGGAAGTCTAGTAACGGATACAAACGATATATCTTCTGAGATAGGCAGGCGAATTATGGCCGCGAATAAATGCTATTTCGGCCTACTAAGATATTTTCGTTCCAAAATACTATCCAGAAGTATCAAAATACTCCTATATAAAACCTTACTAAGACCAATACTTACTTACGGTTCAGAATGCTGGGTGCTAAGCAAGAAAGACGAGAATACTCTGTTGGTGTTTGAGCGCAAAATACTAAGACGCATATTCGGAGCTGTGTTTGAAGACGAAAGATGGAGGACGCGATACAACCATGAGCTTTATCAGATGTACAATGAGCCTAACGTCATAAAGACCATAAAGATTGGACGCCTACGATGGGCAGGACACATAATTCGAATGGACGAGGCCAGAGTACCCAAACGTTTGCTAGAAGGCCGGCCAGACGGCCGGAGAAGTCGAGGTAGACCGAAGCTTAGGTGGTTGGATGGCGTCGAACAAGACCTAAAGAATATTGGTGTGAAGAGTTGGAAACAAAAAGCCCTAAACAGACCGGTCTGGAAAGATATACTTGACCAGGCTAAGGCCCACCCGCGGCTGTAATGCCTTGGATGATGAATATTGTATAATTATGATAGGAGAGTCAAGAAGAGGACAAGTGGAAGATGTATGAGGGAGCAGTGATAATGCTGCTATGAAATCTTCTGGAATTATTTATATTTCAAGATTTATCTGTCGATTTATGCCGTGGACCGTGTGGTAGCGACTAAGAATTCTGCCATCCCTATTCTACTCAGGGCATTTCGTAAAAGACAACGTAGAGTTTTTGACCTTGGCTACAATCTATTCGGATTGCAATGCACTCACAGTGCTATATTATTCTCACAAGTGATAATAAGATGGGATCATCCAATAGATTGATTAAGCAAGCTTCATCATATGGTTTGAATTCCACTCATAATGTGGACTAACCATGTAGTAAGTTCTAAATACTTTCTACAGATGTCGCTGGATCGTCGCTTGGAGACGAGCATCAAGAGATAGATAATTTGGCGTTCATCGCCCGTTCATCGATAGCTCAGTGGCAGAGCGGTGGGGCGTTTACCCATGCGGCCCGGGTTCGATCCCCGGTCGATGCATGTCATTTTATCTATTTCTTATTTTCACTTGGCTACAATATCTGCCAACCATGATCAACCATATGGTGGCGGTAATACCACCTACAATAGCATTCCCAAAGAAGGTTGACATCAGGCAGGAGTAAAATAAAGACAAGTCATTTTGCAATACGATTTAGTGTTCAAACAAAACATGTTCCGCCGACTCCAAGTAATTGGAATAAAGGAAGGAAGATGATGTTTTATCTGTCGATTTCAAACAAACAAAAGAAAACAATTTTTGTCTTACCTGCGGGACAATAGCGATTGCTTTTCTTAGACTAGCGAGATCAACGTCTTTGATGTTCTGCCCGGCGATGGTGATACTGCCTGAAGACGGCTCGAAGAACCGGAATGACAGCCGGACCATTGTGGATTTACTGCAGTAAGAAGATAGCTCCACAAAGACGTGAGACGTGCGACATCATGACTCTTGAAATCGTATAAAATGTATGAAACGGAAGAAACATAGCTACACACGTGAGACACGCGTCGCATTGATAACGGCTGACGATCGCTTGTGTAACAGATGTCATGTTGCGCGTCGCATCGCGCGCCTATTCTATGGAGCTTGCCCCTAACAATATTACTTATACTGGGGTCGTGACTAGGGTCCATCGGGTCTTTCGTCGTCCAGCTGTCCGAAACGCTATATCACTAAGTCCACTTGCTTTTGTAGTCAATTATTTTCGTAAGATTCTGACAACCGTGAAAATGAGCTTCTTATTATGGTATAACGTTACCTGAGGCACGATGGCGATGGCTTTTCTTAGACTAGCGAGATCAACGTCTTTGATGTTCTGCCCGTTGATAGTTATGCTGCCTGAAGACGGCTCGAAGAACCGGAATAATAACCGCACCATTGTAGATTTACTGGAACAATAAAATTAAGATAAACAATCTCGTTTCAGGTATGTAAAATCTCGTAGATATGTATCGTTGGTCTGTCGCCATGCCATTTTGTCAACTATACGTTTGTTCAAACTATACCTCCACTGCTCATTCGCACAAATTTAACCCAAATGATAACCGCATAGCACGCTCCGTAAAAACATCGGCCTAGTGCGAGGCGGAAAAGCGCGGGTGCCGTACCATTTTGTATAAAAATCGCATAAAAATCACGTTTGTTGTTTGGAAGCCCCTTTTATAATAAATTTCATTTTACTTCTTAGTATTTGTTATTATAGTGGCAATAGTAATACATGTTCTGTGACAATTTCAACTGTATAACTATTACCGTTAATTAGATACAGCCTTCGAACAATCAAAGGTAAATCGGGCAAAAAATTACATATATGAGCCCCCCTTAATTATTGTAATTTTTTTTTTGTATTTGTTATTATAGCGGCAACAGAAATACAGCACCTATGAAAAATTCCACTCTCTGACTACTACGGTTTATTATACAGCCTGGTGACAAACGCACAGGTACCGAAGTCGCAATAATAAGGTTCTGTTTTCACCCCTTGGGTAAGGCACCCTAAAAATCGTACCCGCTGCCAGAGCCACCGACGATACCGATCTTCTTTCCCGGAGGAATAGTGAAGCTGAGGTTGTTAAATATCGGCTTCGGCGTCTTTATTGTTCATACAAATATAAAACCATTCGTCCGTTTGACAGCTCTTGGCGACGCGTTTTCTCTTACTGCGACGTTCGATATCTTGACTCTTTTAAAGGAATCAAAGTATCACAAATGAAGAGTAATTATCCCCACCAGGAAATGAACCCGGAACCTTGTGTACGCACGCAGTCGTAGTAACCATTACGCCACATAGGCTGTCAATTATTTTTATTCATACTCGTGAATCTTACCCGCTGCCCGAGCCTCCCACAATACCAATCTTCTTTCCCGGAGGAATAGTGAAGCTGAGGTTGTTAAAAATCGGCTTCCCGTTGATGTACTTGAAGCCGACGTCTTTGAACTCGATCACGGCGGTGTCGGCTGTCACTTTGAGGGCAGGGGCTTTCGCTTTTTCCTGAAAATGAAGAATAAGCTATCGAAAAATTTGTTTTTGGGTTAGTTTTACAGTTTACGACTTGATCAATCTTCAATACGCTTAATATGACGCAATGAAGCTAAAATATGGATCAATCTAGCTCAAAATTGGAACAATCATGATCAAATATACACTCAAATATCAAACAACTACGCTCAAACGTGTTACAATCACGCTTAAATATGGTGCAATCACACTCAAATGTAGTGCAATCTCACTCAAATATGGTGCAATCACGCTTCAAATATGGTGCAATCACGTTTAAATAGTGTGAAATCACTTTCAAGTATGGTGCAATCACGCTCAAATATGAGTAAATCACACTCTAATATGGAGCAATCACGCTCATATATGAGTCAACCAAGCTCAAATATGGAGCGATACATACATACATATTACCACACCTATATCCCTTGCGGAGTAGGCAGAGCGGAAACGGCGATTGTAAAAACCAGCCATCACGCTCAAATATGGTGCAATCACGCTCAAATATGGAGCGATCACGCTCAAGTTCGGCGCAATCACGCTCAAATTCAGTACAATCACGCTCAAATATGAATCAATCATGTTCAAAAATGATCTGATTCAAAATATTCCTAAAATGAAATAGTCTTCACCTGTATCTTGCTCTGTACGGTCATGAGGGTGAACATGGTCTGCATGTCGATCAGCGCTTGCCGTACCTACGGAACAAAACAAAACACATTTGACCTGATGATGACACATTTGACCAATAGTTTCATTATAGCTTCAATAATTTCAAGTAAAATCTTAAACCAGTGGAACTTTGCGGAGTGTTCGTCAAATAAACATACATAAATCACGGCTTTATCCCTTGCGAGGTAGGCAGAGCATCAACGGCCGTAAAAATACGGTCGTTATCGCCATGACCGACAAAATATTTGAGAGCCGTCTTAGCTATTGTCGTTTATCGCTGACACTTTTGTCAGCCTGTCGCATAAAATTGCAATACACATGGAACCCTTCAGCCCCTTAGTCGCTTCTTACGACACCCACAGGAAAGAAATGGGCTGATGCTATTCTAAGCCGGCATCACACGGCCACCAAAGCCGGCATCACACGGCCGAATAAAAATTTAAACAAGATGGCCAAGTGCGAGTTCAACCTTGTTTTTCTTTAATTTTTTTTTAATTATTAATACCTCACGGTAGACGGAGCCGAGGAAACCCAGTGGTATAGACAGCTGGAACAATAATCCGTTCACCATCACCAGGTCACCGACTGTCATTTGACCTGTAAGACAACATTTAATGTATCAGACGATATCCACATTAGGTAACATGTTAATAGTAAAGGAGAGAAATTGTCGTATTTCTAACAGAATATTGAAAGAATGAGGTCCAAATGTGGTCCGAATTTGGGAAGTAGGTACTTTGCTTTCCAGACTTCGCTTTTCAGTTTAAATCTCAGGAGTTTACATTCGTCTAGCTTGCTTGGTATATTACCTGTCATAATCTGGTTGGCTGCTAGCAGCATTATAACTGCAAGCCCTCCACTGAATACGGCGTGCTGACCGAAGTTGAGCAATGCCAAGATGGAAGGATATTTATTTACATTCGTCTTGCCGTGTGGTGCTGGCTTAGAATAGCATCATCCCATTTCTAGCCGTGCAATCACGCGACTAAGGATTGATTCAAGGAATGGGCAGCAACGTTCCCTGTGAATATCTTCAACTACTTGCATTGCGCTCGCCAATCCGCCTGCCAAGCGTGGTGAGTACGGCAAAACCCCCCTAGTCCAGCAGTGGACTGTTGTGGCTGTAATAGTAATAGTTATCTGGTTGGTATATTACCTGTCATAATCTGGTTGGCCGCTAGCAGCATTATAACTGCAAGCCCTCCACTGAATATGGCGTGCTGACCGAAGTTGAGCAAAGCTAAACTTGATGCGGTTTTCAAACTGGCGGCTTCGTACTTCTTGAGACTAGCGTCGTACTTTTCTAGCTCGTATTTTTCGTTGTTGAAATACTGGAACGAGATTGTATGTTTCATAAAATTATTCACTTCAGAATGACGCGTCTTTGATGGATAATACACCGAAGACATACACCGATTCAATAACATACAGTTGCAAAGAGATAAAGCAAAAATTCTCGCGAGTTTACTCTAAATAATAGCTGTTCTACGACCTTTGGAAAACTTAAGAAATAATTTCATGGGATAGGATGGGATAAATTTTCGTCTACATGTTATTCAATTCATTATGACAGTTGTACATTTCGCCTGCGGGTAAAACGCTAATGGGTGGCTAGTATAAGCTATTTCATTCATCAAATAAAGTATTTACAAAACCAGTGATAATGTCAAACATACCTTGACAGTCTCGTAGTTGATGAGTGAGTCGATAGCTTTGTTTCCGGCCTCATTTTCGGCGCGGTTCATGTACACTCTAAACTGCGTGCGCCACTGAAAAAGATACAAATAAGCAAAACCCTGTCCTCAATATTGACAAAGTAACTGAATAATTGCCGTGTGCTGCCGGGTTAGAATAGCATCACCCCATATCCACCCGAGGGTGTCGTAAAAATCGACTAAGGGATGAATCCATGGAATGGGCAGTAGCGTTCTCGACACCTTCCACTGCGCTCTCCAATCCGCCTGCCAAGCGTGGTGAGTATGGCAAATACCACCTTATAGGGGGAGGCCTCTGTCCAGCAGTGGACTGTTGTAGCTGTTGTGGTTATAACAGAATATAATATTAAAATGTAAAATTACCTGAGTGATAGCCAGAGTAAACGCAGCATATACCATCACGCAAGTTACTGCACAGCCTGGAAATAGTTAATTTACGATATTATAAAAAATAATCATTATTTGCTTGTTTGTTTTTGATTGATAATAAATTCCAACTCCGGCTGTACAGAATAACATTAGAAGGACTGAGTAATACAGTCATCCCTGAGTACTATAGATTTCCTGGTTTCGTCCTATGCGGTCGCTAGATTCATCGCATTCACTCCTTGAT